AAATGCCTGATGGTAGCGAGCGACCAATTGCTTATGCCTCCAGGTCCTTGACTTCCACAGAAAAGAAATACGCACAGATTGAAAAAGAGGCACTCAGCATCGTGTGGGGGGTCAAGAAATTCCAGTCGTACCTAGAGGGTAGGCACTTCAAGATCCAAACAGATCATAAGCCACTTAACGTTGCTACCATAGCGCAAGGTTTCTTGGGAAATTTATGTAATTATGTTAATTTATGTATTCCGTTGCACGTTTGTCAAGAGTTCGGTATGTATTTTCTTTGCTTGTAATTTGTCGCCTTTTCTTGTTTGTAATGTAGCATTTTTATTTCAGAAAACCTGTACTCAAACCTCTACTCAAACCTGTACTTGAACCTGTATTGTACCTGTGTACTTGTACCTATAACTATAACTGTTCAGTAATTAAAGATGGTTAAATGTTCAGCGTTTTCGCTCTATACTTCAATAACGTGCCGGAATCAACTTACTTAGCGTGGGAACGGTCGTTTCAAGGACGCAAAMGTTTTCGAACTCTTTACTGGACGCAGTATGGAGCTGGTAGAGTGTACCAGAGTACTCTCGCGGTTGAGAGAAAGGATTTACGAGTTGACTACTCAAGATGGCGCCGAGGTCGGCGATGAACTTGTTTATTATGGAAATTCGTGGTGAAGGTTCGTCAATATGTATGAAAATCACCTACAAACATCTCACCCTGAGGAATGGGATAAAGCAATATTGAACTATGAAGAAGAAAAAAGACTGCACATCGAGTTTATGACTAATTACTCGAGGAGAGAAGCGAGCAAGAAAGCAAACTTGCAATCAACAACGATGAGACGTGCGAATAGCGCATCGAGTCCAACACTTTCAAGCTGTAGTACACGATCTTCAAGATTATCTGTCATGGCTAGGGAAAAAGAACTAGCTCTTGCAGAGCTGACTGTTAAACAGCTTAAAATTAAACAACAGATTCATGAATTAGAAAAACAACGAGACCTGTTGACGGCTCAAATGAATGCCGACAAGCCGGCAAAAGCCGGTCTGCGTGTTTACGAAGATGAAGGTATCGACACAATGGGTTGTAAGGACGGTGAAAATAAAGATCCCTTTAATCCATTTATATTATTTACGCCAAGTCATTTTGTAGCAACACAGTCKACGCCTATTGCTCATCGTCCCGAAGTACATCACCACGTGGGAATTACACAGGGATCCCAAATTACATCAGCGATGCATCGGCCAGCAGTATATAAACCCGTAGGAGGTCCACAGGGATTCCAACCAGTATCAGCCATATATCAACCTGCAGTATATCGCCACGTGGATAGTACACAGGAAACCCAACCAACATCAGAGATACACCAGCCTATAGTGTATCACCCCGTGGGAGGTCCACAGGGAACCCAACCAACATCAGAGATACACCAGCCTATAGTATATCACCCCGTGGGAGGTCCACAGGAAACGCAACCAACATCAGAGGTACACCAGCCTGTAGTATATCACCCCGTGAAAAGTCCACAGGGAACCCAACCAACATCAGAGGTGCACCAGCCTGCAGTATATCACCCCGTGAAAGGTCCACAGGGAACCCAACCAACATTAGCAGTACAACAGCCTATAGTATGTCACCCCGTGGGAGGTCCACAGGGAATGCAATCAACTTCAGAGACTCATCAGCCTGCAGTATATCGCCCCGTGGGAGGACCACAGGGAACCCAACAAGCATCAAACATACAACAGCCTGCAGCATATCATTTCGTGGTAGGTCCACAGGAAACCCAAGTAGTGTCAACCATACATCAGTCTGTTGTACAATCAGCACCCCATATGTATCAATCAGATAACAGAACTGTGCATTCAAATGTGAGCACTGGAGAAGAGATTGTAAAAGCCTTACGACAAGTAGTGAACACTCCAAGGGTTGAATATATGCATTTTGATGGAGACCCACTTAGGTACATTTCCTTTATGCATAACTTTGAAGAATGTCTGGAAAGAGACAACCCTAACTTTTCTTCAAGATTACAACTCTTAATACAGCATTGCACTGGCAAAGCGAGGGAGGCAATTGAAAGTTGTGTCAATCTACCACCAAATGAAGGATATATTACGGCAAAGAACACTCTGAAGGAGAACTTTGGGCAGGCACATGTTATTGCCCAARCACATGTAAGAATTAAAGAAATTAAAGAATCTGCCTATGATTAAGACGGCAGATGGTCCTACCCTGTTGACGTTTGCCAGAAAGCTTGAAGAAACTGAAAGAACACTCAGAGGCATGGGTCCAGAGTACATGAGTGACATTGATCACATGAACACATTGAAAGATCTACATAGGAAATTGCCTATGTTTTTAAGAGCTAAATGGACTGAGTTAGCAGGAAAGATGATTGCTTCAGGAAAACTGATTATTAAAGAAAGAGCAGCACTCGTCAACAATGAATTTGGAGAAGACATGAAGATGTTCTAAAAGGAAAAGAACCGAAATCTGAAAGACAGGCACAACACAAATCTACCAAGAACGGGCGCTATGTCTTTAGCTACCGTATTTACCAAGCAACGTGACCAACTACAAGAACAAGGCAATGTGCATCGTAAAGAAACCTGTATTGTCTGTTCGGACGACCATAAATTGTGGAAGTGTGACGCATTCAAGAAGCTTTCTTATAAGCAAAGAAAGGAAGTCGTGCGTCAACATAGACTATGCATGAGATGTTTGAACCGAGGACATTTTATTGCATCGTGTAGATTTCAGTATAAGTGTAGAGAAAAGGATTGCAAGGCAGACCACCACACACTGCTACATCCACCATCCGAAGTTAATGCTGGAGTGAAACTTTCAAGCAATGTAGTGACGTTATGCCTCGTGCAGATGTGAAGAACGACCGAAGTAAAGAGACAGTGAATACTACAGTACTAGTTAAAGAGACTGATGTCGCACTAAGTGGATCAACTGGGGCCGGCGACCTTAAAGTTTGTCTTGGAGTAATTCCAGTTAAAGTTAAAGCAAAGGGAAGTAGTAAATTCATTAAGAGTTATGCACTCTTGGACAGTGGCTCTGAAGTTACATTGTGCCATGAAGAATTAGTACAGAAACTCAACTTGCAAGGTGGAAAGGTACATTTTACACTCACCAGTATGACTGGAACGTCTGCTGTCGTCGGTAATGAAGTTGACATTGTAGTGTCTTCTATAGATGACACAACAACCATTGAACTGTCCAATGTTAAAACTGTTAAGAAGATGCCAATTTCAAAGAGTTGTATAGCTAGTCGTGAAGATGTAAAGAAATGGCCTCATTTTAAGAACATTGATTTAGAGGAGCTTGATGACAAAAAAGTTATGCTACTTATTGGTGTTAAAGATCAACCAGGACTTTTTATACCATTGGATTACAGACGGCGTGGAGATAATGAACCTGTAGCTATACGTTACACAGGGCCGTAACTAGGGGGGGAGCACTGGGGGCACGTGCCCCCCCCCTTTAGACCAAAAGGTCCGCTTTTTATCACCATTTGTTGCTTGAAAAATAAAACAATGACTCCAAAAAAGTTTCTACTTTACTGTAAAAACATAGGTTCAAAGGTTCATTTATTTGATGTTAAAGATTCCATACTGCATTTATATTAAAAAGATGATATAAAGAGTCTTTATATTAGTTTTAGTTCCGTTTTTACTTGGAGTGCCCCCCTCAAAAAATCTTCTGGTTACGGCCCTGTTACAGTCTTGGATGGTCAATCATTGGGCCAGTTGGAGCAAAGAAGGAAAATAAAAACAGCACAGTGAATTTTGTGCGCACAGATGACTGTGTGAAAAAACATTCTGATGTAGCATTTCAGAATCCTGAAACACGTGTTAACAAGAATTCAGAAGAGATTGCAGTCAATCATTATAATGTTGAGGATGAATACAGCAAAGCAGACGACGTCATTAAACTACAAATTGACAATGAACACTTGGAACAACAACTTGAGAGACTGTGGAAAACAGATTTCACTGATTCTGTAGTGGACAACAAAGTAGCCCCTTCAATCGAAGACCGTGTGGCTATGGAAATCATGGAGAGAACTTTGACTAAAGTAGGCAATCATTTTCAGGTTGCATTGCGATGGAGAAACGAGCAACCATCCCTACCTAACAACAAAGAAATGGCAGAACGAAGATGTCACTATCTAAAGAAGAGACTTCAAAGAGATAAGGAACTGTTTGAGAAATACAAAACAGCGATGCATGAATACATCGATAAAGGACACGCAGTAAAGGTATCTGAAGAGGAGATCAACGTAGCGGACAGACCTGTCTGGTTTGTTCCTCATCATCCAGTTGTTCACCCCCTGAAACCTGAAAAGGTTAGAATTGTGTTTGACTGCGCAGCAAAATCAAGTGGAACATCATTGAATAAGGAACTATTACAAGGGCCAGATTAAACAAATCAGTTAACTGGAGTACTCAGCAGATTCCGCCAAGAAAGGATCGGAGTTGTAGGGGATATCGAAGGAATGTTTTTACAAGTGTTAGTAGATCCCAAGGACTGTGATGCTTTACGATTTCTTTGGTGGCGTCACGATGATCTGTCAGATGAGCTTCAAGAGTACAGAATGATCAAACACCTCTTCGGCGCAAGTTCTTCTCCAAGTATAGCCAACAAGTTTAATAATTGAACACTGCCATGTCAAGGTGGGCCATTTAGGACAGGAATCAGTTCTGTCCTCTTTGCGTGAGAAGTATTGGATAGTTAAAGGCAGATCAGCTGTAAGAGCTGTGGTCCGTAAGTGCGTCTACTGCCAAAAGAGGAAAAGAAAGCCAGCTGAACAGTACATGGCAGATTTACTAAAGGCCCATTTACACGACACGATTTTGCCTACGACTTGTAGTATACGATTTCTCTACAACAGGTCGTAGGTACCATTCACACGCGCACGACTGTCGTATACGATCCGCACACGCCAATGCTAAGATTCGCGCGGTTTGCTTCCCAATGGCCTGGGGAGAGCAACAAACAAGATGGCGGACAATCACGATATTGTAACTTTCGCGATTGTTGCCGTCTTGGCCAAGCGAAAAAGGCGACAAAGACGAACTAGAACGGTTTGGGAAAAGGAGTGGCTTAAGCGGAGAAAACATTTAAGTGCATATAGGCAAATAATAACTGAGTTACGGCTAGAAGATCCAGAAAACTATCGAAGATATCTTCGGATGGACACGGCAACGTTTGAGGTAAGTTATTTTAACAATTGATTCGTCATTTTTTTTTTCCAAAAACACCTTTATTAAAACTGTCAACCCAACATACATATATCTTAAAAGATGTTTTCTAATTAATAGGATCTTTKGGGAAGATTAAGACACAAAATAAGCAAGCAAAATACTAATATGAGGGAGTCGATCACGGCGGAAGAGCGACTTGCAGTGACCCTTCGTTTTCTTGCTACTGGCGAGTCATAYTCAAGTTTGCAATTCCAATTCAGAATCAGCACTCCAACTTTGACAAAACTTATCCCTGAAGTATGTCAAGCCATTTTTGACACTCTCAAAGGAGAATTTCTCAGTTGCCCAAAAAGTCCCCAAGAATGGTTRCAAATTAGCAACTCGTTTAGTGACAGATGGCAATTTCCACACTGTCTTGGTGCCATTGATGGMAAGCACATCAAAATACTTCACCCAGCACACAGCGGCTCGTTGTTTTATAATTACAAGGGATTTTACAGTATTGTGCTAATGGCAATAGTAGATGCCGACTATAAATTTACTTTCGTGGATGTAGGCTGCCAGGGAAGAATCAGCGACGGTGGAGTAGTTAAGAACACTGACTTTGGGAAAGCTTTACTCGAAGGTATTAAAATATATACCATAAATGTTTTTATATCAAAATATTATAATGAAAAGTCTGTTAATGAGTTTAGTAGGCTACCTTTAATACCTCWTTAAAATTTGGAAATATGAAAAAAGAAACATTGATCTTATTTTAAGTTGTAGAGTGTATGTGTTGCAAACTAAAAACAGGTTTATCAATTTGGTATAATACTGCTATTTCTTGTTAATTATTTCCAGGTAATCTTGGTTTGCCCGAGCCCACTCCCCTACCACCATCGCAAGATCCAGCATTTGAYGATCTCTATTCACAACCGATGCCCTATTTCTTTGCCGGAGATGATGCATTTGCATTGGAATCATATATGATGAAGCCGTATGGGCAAAGGAATCTGTCAGAAGAGAAAAGAATCTTCAATTACAGGTTGAGCAGAGCCAGGAGGATAAGTGAAAATGTGTTTGGGATCCTGTCAAGCAGGTTCAGGGTATTCTTGACAACACTGTGTAATAAACCTGACAGTGCCATCAAAATTGTCCTGGCTGCAATTACCCTGCACAACTACCTAAGATCCAAGGTACCTGATAGATATACCCCCCCAGGGACAGTCGATGGAGAATCTGGAGAAAATGGTTTATGGCGTGCTGAGGTGCCTGCTTGTCCATTCAAGGAATTGCCRAACTTTAAAAAGGGAAGGCAAGGAATGAAAGCAGAAAGAGTGAGAGATGTCTTGTGCCAATACATGAATGGACCAGGTCAGATCCCTTGGCAATGGAATGCACTTGTTTAATTTTTTTTTTTTTTTGCCACTTAAATACTTCAGCCTGGTTCACATAAGAGTTAAAGTCATATGCATCTGTTTTCAAAAAGGTGGTCCAAAATAAATTAGTAGGTCAGTAAATATAATCAGTTGGGAAATATAATTGTCGTCAATTATAGCTAAATAAATTCCTGAAATACTATTTTAATGTTGACGAAGCAGCATTAATATTGGTCTGACAAACCTTAGGCAGGGACCTTAGGCCAAAAGGCATAGACCAAAGTGTCTATTTTGGGATAAGAGAACATGAAATTAGTGGTAGTACTATTTGTTTCTTATGATTATGGTACCATATATACTGTAGACCAGGCTTTTGCAGTCGTGCGCTTCTACTCCAACCAAAGCCACCCATATGTATTAATCTTAATTTTGAAAATAAAAATAGATCCTTATAATTGCTCATCCTGTATATCATAGTTACACTCTGTTTGTCATTTAACCTCTTAGGCTAAGGACAAATATCAAAACAAATTTAATCAAACCTACATGATCCAGTTCAAATTCCATAGATTCCATGGCATTTAAAGGAATGTACTTGTTTGTCTGGATAGCTTTGGTTGAAGTTAAAGACTATTTTCATCAATGGCATCTGTTTTTCATTAGTTATCATATAGCATTTGGATCACACTCCTACGAAATAGTGAATCTAATGGGTATAATATATCGTACACAATCAAAATCCAAAATGTGCTGACATGAAAAGTTGTCTCAAGTTTATACTTAGAAGAGTTAAATAATTGCAAATAAAAGTGTCTCAAAGTCAAACTTTAAGAAAATGTATAAAAATGTAATATTATMTGATACATTCTAGATGTATATTTGAATGGCTTGGAATGGCATTTAATTAAGTTTGTGTTCAGATGATGACAAATAATACAATATATCTTTCAAAAACATGATTATTAACTAAGCTTTCAGAAATGCTATGTTTAATGTATTATTTATAAATATGTATTTAAAAAAATGCATGTAAATATTGTCAATATGGGCTCTTTAGTAATATATTGACTGTAAATAGTCTTAATGAGAACTAAAATTGAAGTAAACTCTTCTATAGAAAGATCATGTAGTTATGTTGTATGACTTTTCAATTTACCAATATAATGTACACCTATAGCTACTTGCAGAAACGTTGTCACAAAAAATAGGACATTATTTTGTATTTAGTAAAAAGGAATAAATTAAAACAAGACAAAAGAAGATCACTGAGGCTGAACGCTCTCTTTTGTCTTGTTTAATTTTATTCCTTTTTACTAAATTCAAATGTTCTATTTTCTATGACAATGTTTCTGCAAGTAGAGGTATATAGTCATAGAAAATTAATRACTTTAAACACAGTTGAACTGTAAAATACAGTAAAAACCCGCGTATAAGAACCTAACATTTAAGAACCTGTTAAGGGCTAAAATTTCATTTTTTAAGCACCCTTTACATAAGAACCATTTTAGGTTAAAATTCTAAAACAGGTTCTTATTTTGAAAAAAAAGGAAAAAAATCTCAAAATAGAAAAACATTCTCAAWAATATATTTATAAAACAGTCTGTACACACTGATTATAGCAGTTACAGCATTTGATGTTGACAGTAGTGTATAGTATTTTGCTAATTACTGAAGCCTCCAAGAATACTGCTATCAGATATAAAAGACCACATCATTTAAAAATTCTTACCTTTTTTCTTGAACAAAAGTTAAGAACCTAATTAACCTAATTTTACACTAAATACCATTTATATAAGAACCTGTTTAGGCTAACTTGAAAAAACCTAGGTTCTTATACACGGGTTTTTACTGTATAATCAATGTAAATAGCAACTTATTAGTCTTTACTGACTAATAGAGAAATCTTGAATTGAAGCAAAACAGTTCATTAACAAAAAGTATACTAATTTCAAATCCAAATCAAATGTACATCTGAGCAATATTTGGCATTATTTTGTAATGACCAAATTAAAAACAGAATTATTATTCTATAGATTTTAAGATACACTTTTTTCATTTTTTCAGGCTGACTGTGTTCTAATTTGCAAATGTCAATTGAACCAAATATTGCTCAGATTTACAACTGSCTAACTTATACACAGGTTGTATTATTTTGAATGAGTTAAGAAAGTCAAAGTTTATGTAACTATTTAGTTAAGCAAAGAGTAATATAATAACCACAATCTATTCCAAATCTGAAAAATCAATGGTTGCAAAAGGCTGTCTGGCAGGTGTAGGAATCATTGCTTTCATAATGCATTGCTGTAGTTCAAGTTTCAGCATCTCCTTTCTGTAGCCTTCAGGGAYTTTCTTTAATTGACTGGCAATGTAATTACCAAAAATGCTGTCTCCATCATTTCCAGGGGATGTAGCTTGCTTGGGTTTTTTCAATTCCTTGATGCATGTTTCCAACAGCTCATCCTCCARTTTTCTTGAGGTTTTTCGAGATGGAGCATTGACTTTAAAGACAGAGCTAGTGTTTTCATCATTTTCTTCTTTTGTTTCATCTTCAACGCTGTCTACAGGTACATCTTCATTAAGAACCACAGTACTAATGGCAGCAGGTTCCAAATTACTTGTCGTCTTCCTTGGGGTTATATTATCCCTCAAGAAGTGCAGGGAGGTGAAGAAGGGCCACTTGGACACATACACATCCTTTCTACCTGTTCCCGATACCTTTGTTATCCTCTCTTTCCCTATTTCTCTCCCATAGTATGTTCGTAGACCTGCTAACTTCTTGTGAAGCTCTTCTGTTGTCAAGCCTTAAAATACATTATTTGCATTTTWTAAACCTTARATATAGAGTGCATTCAGTTAATCCGTGAAATTTTAGCAAAACAAAATTGCACAAAATCTTTTGTTTTCTATTGTTTACTAATTTGTACTATTTAGTACTACAGTCTCAATACTGTCTTTAGTGCCTGGCAAACAATTCCTTCTTTTTTCTTACACAGTCCCTTTTTCACTGAGATAGAGTGATTAACCCGTGAAACAAAGGGTRATAATTATTAGTGTAATAGATTAATACTGTCATGTAGAGACAACAAAATACAATTAAATGAGCCTAGTGTAATAGAGATACTCAATGTTTATACTCATCCTTAAAGATTATTTCAATATTATCTACATAAATATTTGGGAAACCAAAAGAAATATTCTTGTGACAGGGGGAAAGAAATCAAAATTAGAATTATTTTCAAAAGTAAAACAAAATCACACATTAGAAAAATATCTGAGTATTACTAAGAATTATTATAAGATATATCATCTGTTTCAAAATTCATAATGTCAGCCCACAATTTCCCAGTTGAAAAGGTCAGACATTCTAAAATTGAGAGAAACATTTTGTCTCATATGTAAAAAAGGAGAAACTGGTGATGAAGTTAACAACATTAAGAATTCATGTTCTACTCATGTACAAAATACTGTATTCAAGTACCAATATTGTATGTGTGCCAAACATGATCAGAATGTCTTTTCAGAAGTCGCTTTGTTCTGACAGCGAATCGTGTTCTGGTTTMCATGTCAATAGCAAAGGCTTACGTCACATYGAGTATCGCTATAGTGCTAAATACACTAAAGTATAAATTTTATACGCTATAGTGTGTTTCAAATTTACCGGCAATGTCAGCTTTTTCTACAATGTCAGCTAAGGCTGCTGCCCTCGAGTCTTTCTTGAAGTAATCTGGGTTAGAGCAGTTAAAGAGCACATCTTTTGTCGACCAAAGGTCGATTATTTTTTGTGTATCCTCATCTGTAAGTTGCAATTTACTTTTTTTCTTGTTCAGTTCCGCCATCTTTGAAAGCAAAGCCGCTTATGAAGAGCCATTTCCAT